TCCAGGTCCAGTATTTGTCGCAGTTAGTTCCAACACAGAAATCTGCCAAGGCCTCGCAGAACTGAATTGGGGTCCTTACCTGCACAACCACAGGTCCTAAATCAGGGTAGCAGAAGCCTTCGGACAGGACTCCAGCACAACGACCACTTAGAGAGCAGCCGGAAAGCAAATGCGGTTCCGCTCTTGCGCGATGGGAGGAAGCGCGGTCGCGTAATGCCTCTTGGGACATGTAGTTGGGCTGAGTGAGCGCGCGTCGACGCTCAGCCCTCTGGAAGTTGTAGTTCGAGAATTGTGCCGTGACGCGCGAGGTGGGCGGGGCAACGCCGTCACTTTGTGCGGGAAGACCGCTGGAGGCGGAGAGGAGGCGTTGCTGGTGCGCCCACGCGCGGAAGGCATTTGCATGGTCTCTCCCCATCTGCTGTCCAGGAAAGCTAAGGGCTACCAGAAAGGGGAGAGGCCTCTCTGTCTGGATCCTCTGCTCGCCTAGACCACAAGCCAGAAAGTGGGGAAGTTAGCAAAACCTAGCGTAAGCAGGAGACCTAGGCAGAGGGAAATAGAAACAGTCCCCCTTTGAGGCTACACAGAGCTGACAACCTCTGCCTGTCGGTGCCGAACATAGAGAAGGAACCAAGTGTAAATTGTTTTTTACCCCACCCCCACCCCACCCCGGTTCAACTGTAGCCCAGACTAGCCAATCCCGGACTCGCGGTGATTTCTCCTGCCTCCTAAATGCTGGAATTTACAGATTTGAGTCACCAAACCAGGATGTCTGTTGGGTTTTTTGGGGTTTTTTTTGTTTGTTTGTTTTTCCCCTTTAGTAAAGGTAGAATAAAAGCCCAGTGTTTTTTTTCCCATTAAATTTTTTTTTGGTTTTTCGAGGCAGGGATCCGCCTGCCTCTGCCTCCCGAGTGCTGGGATTAAAGGCGTGCGCCACCAACGCCCAGCTCCCATTAAACTTATAAACCAGTCATTATCCATCAACCTCTTCCAGATTCTGGATTGTTTCTCTATGTAAATCAGACAGTTACACAAGGTCAATCATTTACACACTGCTAACTGGTTCCACCATGTCTATAATACACTTTTCATGAGCATGGCCTTTGGAATCTTGTATGGTTGGCTCACTGCTTGACTGGATAAATCACAGGCTTCTTTCCCTGAAATGTCTCTTGTCTGTAAAATGGGAATAATAACAGTATTCAACCTCTTAAAGTTGTTTTGAAGATTGGATGAGATACATGTCAAGCACTAAGCACATTGCCTATAATATAGCAAGTATCTGATGTTAACCTTTAATTTTATTATAGGCTAGAGAGACTATAATAATCTCATCTATTCATATACCATGCTTTTACATTTTTCCAGTTCCTCCAGGTGTCTTATGTCACAACACCCTCAAAAACAGGTAGGTATATTATCTCCAGTTTCATTTGGGGAGGAAGATAAGAGGCATTTGCCCATTTAGTTATTAGTAGAGATCCACCTACTTTTGCCTCCAGAGTGCTGGGTTTTAAAGAGTGCACCACTAGGAGGCTTAGAGGTCGGTTTTTTGATGATTAATTTCATTTGTCAATTTGATTGGATTAGTAAACACTTTGGACACCAATGGGGCACATTTTGGGGTGTGTCTGTGAAAAGATTCCAGAAAAATGTAACAGAAGAGGAAAGATTCACCCTGAATGTGGGCAGCCCTATTCCAGGGGCTGGGGTCCTGGACTGAGTCAGAAGAGGAAAAGGAAAAAGCCACCTAAGCACCAGCATTCCACTTTGTCTGCTTCCTGATCTGCCCAAATGTGAGCAAGGTTTCAACACCACAGCTGCAAATTGTTTCTACTGCTGATCCTTCCCTGTGCTGATGGACTCCATCTCCTGAACCACGTGTCCAAATAAAAACCTCTTTCAGTTGCTTTTTGTCAAGTATTTGATTATAGCAATGAGAAAGATAACTAAAACAGATCCAAACCAAGAACTTAGGGAGCTGGATCAACTTATAACAGGCAAACAATTACATAGTGTGAGCTGTTAGGGCTTGTTCCATGGCTGCACAGGTGCAAAGGGCATGCATTCATTGAACTCCAGCTAGAACCCTGTGCAGTAGTTATAACCATCACTCCCATTTTACAGCTACTGTTTTTCTTCCTTCTAACTTTCTCTTTTTTGTTACTGTTGTTTTGATTTTCAAGACAGGGTTTCTTGTGTAGCCTTGGCTGTCCTTGAACTCACTTGGTCCTAGACCAACCTGGAATGGAACTTAAAGAGATCCATCTTTCTCAGCTGGAACTAAAGGCATGTGCCACCACTGGCTCACTGACTTTTTTTTTTTTAAGATTTATGTGTACGAGTGTTGTGCCTATATGTGGACCACACTCATGCTTCGTGCTAGTAGAGGTCAGAAGACATGTCGAATCTCCTGGAAATGGAGTTAAGGACTGTTGTGAGCAGCCCTGTGCTGGAAATCGATGGACCTCTACAAGTGCAGCAAATGCCCGTAACCCATCCCATGAGCCATCTCTCCAACCACCCCCCCATACTGTTTTGTTGTTGTTTTGGTTTTTGTATTTCAGGGGGCTTCTCTGTGTAACAGCTCTGGCTGTCCTGGAACTTGGTCTGTAGACCAGGCTGTCCTCAAACTCACAGAGATCCACCTGCCTCTGCTTTCTGGGATTAAAGGCATGTGCCACCACCACCCAGCATATTTTATGTATATGATTGTTTTGCTGGCATGTATGTATGCGCATCACATGCATTCTTGATCCTCCTCCTAGGTCAGAAGACATCAGATCTCCTGGAACTACAGTTATAGCCACTTTGCTCTCGACAGCCAAGCCATCTTTTCAGATCCCTGTTTGGTTTGTTTTTGTTGTTGTTGTTGTTTTGTTTTGTTTGAAACAGGGTTTCACTGTGTTGTGTAGGCCTGGCTGTCCTGGATCTCACTCTGTAGGCCAGGCTGGCCTCAAACTGGAGACCTGCTGCCTTAATACAAGTGAATACTTTCCTCATTCTAGCCCACCTGATGAATTTAGACTGAGAGTGTAGGGTAGCTTTCTGGTCTACCTTTTTCTTACTGGTCCTATTTAATACTGTTTTCAGGCAGGTGAGGTGTTACCTCTCAGTTTTCTTCAGGGATTTGCTTTAGTTATTTCATTCATTCACCATGAAACATTAGCTTTTCAATGAGCTATTGGTCTGATCCTTTACCACTCTTCAGAATTTTAGCATTAGACTTCCATTAGCAAACTTCTAACCTCCCAAAGGAACTCATCCTCTTTCTCTGGAACTCATTCTCCTGAGTCTTCTTTGCCACCACACACTCCCTTAAGGCAATGTCTCCCAGTTACCTGAAGGTCATCTTTATTTGGATATTGTGTAACCATCTTAAGCTGAATTTAGGAAGAGCTCTCTCCTCCCTTTTCAATCACTCTCCACTTCACTGCTTAAAAACAGGACAGAGCATAGAAAGCACCCATGTTTGCCCACTCTGTCTTCTCATTCCCCGTCTCATTAGGCACTCTTGCCATCTCTAGCCCACCCCCAAATCATTCTGTCATGTGTCCTATTCCTTCTGTCCAGATAAATCTTTGATCGTTTTGTTCCTTTGTTGATTTCAATTTATGAATATCCTTTTTGTTTCCAGCTTTAAATCCACGCCCTAAAGACCTTTCCTGTTTTTTTTTTTTTTCCTTAAGATTGGATGGATCTTCAAATTCATCCTCCCTCTTTTTTGTTTGCTTGCTTGGTTGTTTTTCGAGAAAGGGTTCCTCAGTAGCTTTGGAGCTTGTCCTGGCACTTACTCTGTAGACCAGGCTGGCCTCTGCCTCCTGCCACCACCGCTCAGCTTGAGGTTTCTCTTTATTCCTGATCTTACCATGAAGCACAGACTGGCCTGGAATTTGCAGTCCTTCTGCTTTCAGCCTCATTGCCCCATGTAGAGAATGCTGTTCTGAAATAATACTAACTCTAACAAAACTCAATTTAAATGCTAACTTAAAAAGTTAACAAAAAAGAGGGAACAAAAGAAAATTACATTACTCTTTACTCAGTGCCTATTGTGTGTTAGGCACTCCTTTAGAAATTTACATGCTATCTCACACAGTCACTCCTCATGGAGATGAGGTAAATATTATTAGCTTCACTGAGCAGAAGAGGATCTGTATGGCGCAGAAAGATTAGTCACTTGCCCGTGGTTCCTGGTGAATAATTGGCAGAGCTAAGATTTCAACTCAGGAGTCCTTAAGATCAAAGCCAGATACTTGGCCAGTGTCTGAAGATGCAAGCAAACTCCTGTTTTGTAAGTATCTTCTATATGCAGGGCTTTACACTAGATGATGGGGTCTTGGGGTGCAGTGAGGTTTGCCTGAGGATCTGTCTCAGAAAGTCAACAGCCCAGTCAAGAACCTCATGTCATATAGGTGTCTCCATTTGAAGCACAAATATTTTGGAGGCAGTAGTTGATAAGAGGTTCCCAGGTTCAAGATGTCATCATTTAACCTATGGCTTCTTTGGGAGGCATTAAACTGAGATGTTAAAGCTTCCAAGTGCTCAGTATTTTACACATTCGAGAGCCCAGTTTGTCATCCACGACAATTAGTATATCCTCCTTTACCCTTCATCAGTGCTGACATCGAGTTGAAGTGGAAAAATGTATCCTGTTGAGTGTATCAACAGAAAAATGTATCCTGGCTCTCTCTCTGTCCATCTCTCACTTCCCCAGCCTTGCTTCCTCCTTTCTCCAGCCCTGCCACCCTCACTCCATCCCTGCCCTTCCCTCAGGTTCTGTTTCCTTGGTCACATAGCCTTGCTCTTTAACAACCTATCTCTCCTTTTGCCTACCACCAATATCGACACCCCAAAGCCAGCCATCCCTCTGTCTCCACTCCCTAACATCACTCCTCTAGCCTGGTCCCTTGATGCCTGCCCCCTCCCTCCCTCCCTCCCAACCCGCCTCCTGTGTCTCCCAGCCCTGCTCTGACGTGGGAGGTGAGGGGGGTGGGGGGGTTGGATGACTCACAGTGTTATGATGCAGTTCCACAACACACAGCCACATTTACCCACAGACCGAGGTACAGAACAAGAGGCAACCTCTGGCCCCCAGCAGCTGCCCAGCCTGCAGTCCCAGTCCTCAAACCCCCAACTACCCATCCCCAATCCTATCCCCTTCCTAATTGAAGGAGCGGAGAGAGAAGAGAGAAGAGTGAGCAGAGAGATTGAGAGAGCTAGACGGAGATCTCTGGAGCAGACCTCAAGGTGAGGGGGCAGCCCTTCTCCAAATCAATATTTCCCCTTTGCAAATTTCCTCTTCCTGCTGCGTGTTGCTTTCTTGCCTTTGCAAAAGCATTATTCATCCACCCTTTGTCCTCCCTTCCCCCTCCCTGGTGCCTCCGCTCCTCTCTCTCTCTCTCTCTCCCCGCTCCTGCATCCTTCCCCAAGCTCTGACGATTCTCTCGCACTCATTTCCCAGCAACTTTGGCTCTAGCATCAGACATCACTGTTGATTGTTTTTGCTGCTGGTGCAGACCCCCAAAGCCCGCCCTGGGAGCTGGCTGCTCTGCTAATTATTCGGACCATACCATACTGAAAATGCTGGCCCAGGGGGAGGTAAAACCTCAAAGTAATTGAATATGTCTTTTGTGAGCACAAGTCCCCCTCCCCTTTTTAATTCCCTGAGAGGCACCGGATTCGCACCTGCTTCCACCAGCGTCTGCCTCATCACCTTTACTGTCAGTTGCCAGTCTTCCCAGTTGCAAGCCTTTCTGCTCCCCCATCTTCTACAGTCCAGCCCCAGCTCAGCATCAGGGAATCGGCCTCTTCCCAGCACTCACCTTTGTTTTTGTTTGTTTGTTTGTTTTTTTCTGCCCCCAGTCATTTGCCTGCTGATTTTGCTTCACCCCATGACAAGAAATGGCAGAGATGGGAGAAGAAATGACCCCAACTCTCCTTTTTATGATTTTTTTTTTTTTTTTTGGCTTTCTTTGCAGCTTCACTTCTGCTGGACAGAGAAGCAGGGGACAGAGAGGGAGGTGTGACAATGACAGAAGGACAGGGCTGGGGAAGGAGCAGAAGAGAGAGGGAGGGGGCAAATCTGGCATCTCCTAGTCCCTTGTTTCAAGGTGGAACCTTGAGGGGAACTGGAAGGCAAAGTTGAAGGCAGATCAAGGAAGTGATGCTGAACTGTAGCAAGGAGGGCCAGAACACAATGTCACCCTGAATTTGGCCGAAGGTGTCTTCCTGGGACTCAGCCAATGGTTGAGAACCAGAAATTGAAGATGGTCTCACTCAGGGGGATTTGTTGAAAGACTGCATGGCAGGCCTTGGAGAGAACATAACAGTTGGGGTGCTTATGGCCACCACGGAGAACAGCCTGTTTGTCCTGGAAACTGGAGCCATACTGCCTCCTCTGCTGGGTGGTCTAGCATCTCTAGAGCAGTTAGCAGGCATCTCTGAAGGAGACACAGGCCACCCCACCCACAGCTGCAGGACAGGGTACCTCATCTGCCTATCAGAGTTAACAGATGACACCTCCCTCCTTATCCTCTGCCTGCAGTACCCTCAGCCACTTTGGGGCTGGAGTGTGAGCAGATACCAGCTTCTCAAGATTCTTAATCAGAACCCTGCAATTATTTCATTTGCTGCTGCCCTGTCACTGGTGTTCGCCCTAGCTCCTGGGAGAGGAAACATTTTCTGCCTTGTGGCCTAAAGCCCTGCTCTTAAAATTAAGGCGTCCCCTTACCCTGATGTTTCCTGTTAATGTTGCTCCCATATTATACTACACAGCCCAGGAATCTGGCTTTTTGATGTACTGCTCATTTTTCACCTGTCCAGCTGTCAGACTTGCTGGAGGAAAGATAATTTTTTCTCCTGGGGCTAGATGCCTGTCTTTAACTCAGAGCTAAGGTAACAGTAAGTAAAGAAAGATGAGACCTGAGGACCAGAGGCTAGGAAGACAGCAAGTGCTCCCTCTAGCCTGGGACAGGTAGCAGCCACGTGTAAGGTTTGAGATACTGAAGAAGCTACTAAGTTTTATGGAGTTCCAGGGCTCAGAACTCAGTCCCAGGAGAAGGCTGAAACAGGGTACGTGTACCTACCTGCCTGTTCCACCTTCCTTCCCAAAGTGTGGGTCAATTGTATTGCACACAGAGGCCCTGAGACAGAAAAAACAAAACCAACAACAGGGGAAAAAAAAAACAAAAAACCAAACCAAACAAAAAAACCCCCCCAAACTCAGGAAGACTTCACTTTTAAAAGGTTCTGAGCTTATGTTAGGGGACAGTTTCTCACAGAACTGGACTCAAGGGGTCTCTGCAGGTGATGCTGCTCCTAAGGCAGTTTATGTGCCAGCAGGCTGCTCTCAGTGGAAAATGCTGGAGGCTGCTAGTGCCTCTGGAGAGAGAGAGGTACCAACTCCCTGGCCATGGCACAAGACGCCTGGAACCGCTGCCAGAACAGAATGGGACTCTAGGGGACAGAAAGTGCAATGGGAAGTTGAGGGCTGGCGGTGCTTAGGTGGGAGGGTACAGGTGAGCCCCATCTTTCTTAGCCATGCAGGAGCGGCTCCTCATGAGGGTCACATCTCCCCTGATGCGCCTTCGCTTCTTACCAGGTGATTTTCATTTCTATCTGGTTCTCGTCTGGGGGGGCCCTGGCCGGGCAGCCCCCCCACCCTTCTACTGTCCTGAAACACGGCTCTAGCCAACCTGCTCCGCTGCTTTACCTGCGACCGTCTCTGTGGGGGCTGCACGGCACCAGCCCCTCCAGCCCGCCAGGGCATCGTCCTCCAGCCCGTCATGCCCAGCTGTGATCCTGGCCCGGCCCCTGCCTGTCTACCCACCAAGACTTTCCGCAGCTATCTGCCCCGCTGCCACCGCACTTACAGTTGTGTCCACTGTCGAGCACACTTGGCCAAACACGATGAGCTTATTTCCAAGGTAACGCTGAAGCGTGGGCCTGCCACTCCCCCAGGCTTTCACTCCGAGGCAATGGGAGCACCTGAGGTCTCCCGCCACTCCAGCTAGGATTTACGCAGTGGGGCTGAGGCATACCCAGCAGTCACTGTCTGTCCTGTTTCCACAGTCCTTCCAAGGGAGTCATGGCCGGGCCTACCTGTTTAACTCCGTGTGAGTCTACCTCTTTCTTTGTGTTTGTGTGTGTGTGTGTGTGTGTGTGTGTGTGTGTGTGTGTGTGTGTGTGTGTGTATGTATGTGCTTGTGCGCCAACAGCTTTCCTTTTTGCAAAATGGGGGTGAGCTTTCAACATGATCGGGTACCTTTGGCTTTACCTTCCCCTTTGCAAAGGGATTCAGAAAAGCAGTCTAAGTTGTGTGGGGCAAAAGAAGACCCAAGCACTGATCCTAAAGGGGTGGGCTGCAGAAGGCTGATGCTTCTAGTTCTCCCCAGGCAGAAATCTTTTTTGGGTAGGTTGGGGGATGGACTAACAGAGCAACCCTACTGTGTGCTGGCTCCTTGTTTCCTGAGACAGGGTCAACGTGGGTTGTGGGCCAGCTGAACAACGCCTCCTGCTCACAGGACTCCACTCGGTAGCTGACATTTTCTGTGAAAGCTGCAAGACCACACTGGGCTGGAAATACGTAAGTATTCGAAGAGGGCCACTTCCCAGACAGTCCCCGTGGCTCTCCAAACCCAGTGTCTACACACCAAGCCTTTGCATGGTCCCTAGAAGAAGCTTGGAACTGGGTCTGTCTAGGTGTGGGTAGAAGAGCCTAGAGGGGAGACACTTTTTCCTATGGTCATACTTTACTCCTCACCAGGAACAAGCTTTTGAGACCAGCCAGAAATACAAAGAAGGGAAGTACATCATTGAGATGTCACACATGGTGAAAGACAACGGCTGGGATTGAGGGGCTCAGCAGGCTGTGACCCTCCTCCGCATGCCCCACCTTCCTCACACCAGTCCCCTGGCCCTGTGCGCAGTCCACACCAGCATGAGTACTGCCCACCCCTGAGGAAACCTGGCTCCAAACGACCACCGCCTCCCTTCCCCCACCATAGCAGTACCAGGTCCCTTTGGAACAGGAGCCTTCGATATCCCAGGGGTGGTTAAGGCTCAGGAGTGGGTAGCAGTCAGGGAAATACAAAACTGAGGAGGGGAGATGATTGTGGCAGGGCATGAACTCAGGAAGACAGGACTGTGAGTTACCAAACTGTGATTGGCCTTTTCTGAATGAACAGGACAAACATTGGTGGTGGGGCCGGGCCACAGAATAGCGAAGACTTAGGTTGGAGTGAAATTTTGGTCTCAGATATCAGGGCCCCAGAGTCTGAGGGTAGTTTACCCATCCCCATTCTTGGTAAAAGGACTAGGGATGGGGCCAATAGAAGAAAAAACACAAACCCTAGACCCTGGGAAATCAGCTACAGGGGTTTCCATTTCACTCCACTGTTTACCTTGGCACTAAAGAGGCACTTTTAAGTATCTAATCTTTGCCATTGGGTGGGGTGGGGAAAGCTGTTCCAAGAACAGCCCCCACCCCCAGCTGGCTGTTGCCAGAGAGAGCAGTCTTTATGGGCATTCCCAAAGGCTTAGCCACTGCTCCCTGGGACCCAGTCCTTTGGAGGCAGTGGATCATCGGCGCTGAGGGACCAGTCTTTCCAGTGACTGCCACCAGCGAATGAAACTTTTGTATGATACATAAAGTGTTTGGGTCTATTTTTAATAAAAAGGGGAAAAGCAACTGTGAGGTACTGTCCTGACTTTCCTTCCATAGGTATGGATCTTGTACGTCCCCATCATGTACACCATCAAGGCCCCCTTTTTTTAACCGGTAGGAGGCAGCAGTTGTTTTGTCTATGGCAAGATTCTCCATCTGTTTCACAAGCGGTAAGCATCCAGGTGAATCATGAGGCATGGGTTCTGATGAGTTTGTCCACAGGAACCATCTAATGTTTTTGGTCCCCTGGATTTTTCCCAAATGAGGTTACTTTTTTATCTGGATTCAGGATAAGCAGCTAGTGCAAACTTATTCCACAAGTTGGTGGTTTGTGTCTCCTTGTTTGTTTTTTTTGGCCTGGTCCTAGAATGTTTTAATCAACTCATGGATACCTTGAGTCTAAAATGAAAATCTATCGACTGCTGCTGGCAGTTGATCCAAAGTAAGATGTAGCTCAAAACTATAGCCATCAGCACAAAAATGTGATGTCAAGAACATGGGTAGGTGCACTGATGTGAAGTTTCAATTTGGAGCAGCTCAGCCCTTATGGGGGAGACAATCTACATGGTAAAACTCATCTATTAGCTTACATCATTATTTCCAGATCAAGTCATAGATATTGTGATTATTTATAGCTACGTACTCTAATACTTCCCAGGCATTGTGATGAACTCTGGGGATGCATGGCGAGCAAGCCAGCCATGGCGTGACTTCTTGGAACTCTGTCTAGTGGCCAGAAGGCCCCAACAGAAGATAAGGGCTCTAGTCCAGAGGAAGATTAAGGAACTTCACCTAGATCTCAAGAGTCAGCTTTACAGAAGAGAGACCGTGATGGAAAGATGAGCAGGCAAAGGGCAAGACCAGAGAGAGGGATTCAGACAGAACTATGTGATATGGCACAAACTTGGCTAATTTGAGGAAATTGTGTTTTTCTGTGGCTAGAAGTACAAGAGAATGAGACATAAGAGATTGAACAGAAGAGCTGTACACTTAGAGCAGTGGTTCTCAACCTTAATGCTGCAACACTTTAGTACAATTCCTCATGTGTGATGACTCCCAACCATAAAATTATTTTCGTTGCTACTTCATAACTGCAATTTTGCTGTTATAGACCAGAATGTAAGTATTTTTTGGAGATAGAGGTTTGCTGAGGGGGTCACTATGAAGGACACTATGAAGACACAAACAAACTACTGTTATTCCTAAATAGTCTTATATAGTTTAGGCTGGCCTTCTAACTTGCTATGTGACTTTGAACATCTAATCCTTCTGCCTCCACCTTCCAGGTGCTGGGATTACAAGCATGTTATACCATATCTGGCTTTAGGTTGTGTTGTCCAGGGGTTCCTGCATTCTCTGAAAGCTCTCTATCTACTGAGCGACAACCCCATCCCCAAATTTACAGAGTGGAATGACACTGTCAAATAGCTGTTTTGTGCCAGACATGAAACTTTTGTTCAGGGGAGGGGCCCACAGGCAAATATATCTCTGGCTTGACTGGAACTTCCTATGTAGACCATGCTAATCTCAAGTGCTGGGATTAAAGGCATGCACCTCTATGCCCAGGAGGGCTCAGATAACTTTATATATTTTTGGTTGTGAGCCTAGCCCTTTAACGGCTGAGCCATCTCTCCAGCCCCTCACATAACTTTAATAGCTGGAAGTAATGGATTTAGTATTATCTATACTATCTCAAAATACTGTTAACATCAGAATGGGGAGACAGTGGGCAGGACAAAGAACTGGCAGGCACAAAAGGGCAAACACAAGTCAAAAACATCTGAGTGCTGGGGTCAAAGAATGCCTGGCCTGACACCATTGTTCAGTTCCATTGATACCAATTGTTTTCTTTCCTTAAACTCTAGTAGAGATTCAATTCCATATCTTGGTCACACTTCTTTCACCAGAGCAAGCTCAAAACTCCTCAAGGAGAGTCCTGTGAAAGACAGAAAAGTAAATGGTATGGTTGTGGAACGTGAGAAGACTCTGGGTCTGGCTTAAGAAATTAATCTTTTAAGACCATAAGTAATGCTGTCCAAATCTTGGATGCCCAGGCAGGTTTGCCCTCAAGAGCCATCACTATCAAGTGATGTGCTCAGCAAGCAGGTCATGCTGAAAACTATGGGTGAAGAGACCTCCTTCCCACACATAAGAGGCAGAGGACACTAGCGATGCTGAAGCCTTTGCCTAGGCAACTGTTCTTTTCTGTTAGCCCCTTTCCTTTCCTGTGTTCCTCCTTGTTCCCAGAGTTCTTCTGTGGGCCTCATAACATTTCTCCCACACTTCACCAACAACTAACTGTCCATCTCAAGCTTTGCCTGAAAACTCAGACCTTCATTTAAGAAATTGCTTCCAGGCTTATCCCTAAAAGCTGAAGACTTCAGAGGATACCTTCACGTAACCAGCAGGTGGCATCAAAACCTTTCACTCCCTCAGTTCAAATCTCGCCTGACAAAAAAGATGGGTACCTTCCTGTTGGGCTCAGGACAGAGTCCTAATTTACGAGCTAATCAGCCTTAGCCAAACAGCCTAAACTTTTCCAGCCCTCTGGTTTTTTGATCCAACAAATGGGGATGTTATTTGCCAATAAGTAACAGGTTCATGGTGATGTATGCAATGTCTAGCCTATGAACCGCACATGTAAACGGCTCCATAAATCCAGATTTTCACCAGGGTAGCTGACTGGTGCCCAGATGGGAGAAAAAAAGTGATGTTGAGGAGGCTGCCGGCACTGGGTAGTACTACAAGGCCGATGCCCTTTTAACATTGCACTGCTCGTTATAGGTGAAGACAGTAGCACAATGTGAAAAGAGCTCCGGCCAGCAGCAAAGACATGCCGGCCCTGCCTCCTCACCCTTTCTCCCAGTCCCTGGCCCACTCAGCTCACAGCCTTCCTCTCTTCCCTGCCGGGTGGTGGTGCAGGCCCAGATGAGGCAGCTAAGGGATTCCCAGCATTTGAAAATGATCCCTCAAAGGAAATAACTTTTGTTTTGTTTTCAAAATAGTCCAGGTGAGAATAGCATGAGGTTGCATGTCTGCTTACAACCTTTCAGAGAGAACCTTGCCACCCAGAAGCACAGAACCTTCTACCCATCTCCAGTCTAAAGCTAACTTAAGTTTCTGATAAAGATGCCTCGGGTTGTGGAACTCCAGGACCTGAGTGATGGGATATAGTTACAGGTGCTTAGGCAGAAGAGAAGCTCCCAGTTCTGGAGATGCAAGCACTGTTCTCTGAGGTCGTCAAAGCAATCTATAAATGTGGTAGTAAGCAAAATAGCCAGTGATTTGGCTCTTAATGATAAGCTTTCATTGATAGTGAGATTATAAGTCAAGTTTTCTGTCCGCCCCCAAGCTTAGTATCAGAAACTTCACAGTTGTTTTCATGTCCCTAGTCCATCGTCCTTTATCCTGAGTCCACAGAGACTAGTGAAAACGCAAAGCCAGGTGCACTTGGAAGCCCAAGGACTCGGCTCTAGAGTCACACACCAGCTGGAGCTACTAACCAGAAGCCAGCTACAGTTTGACCAAAGGGACAGAGGCAGGGAGGCGACTCCTCTCTGTGGAAAGATTCATTCCAATCATGGAGCAGCCTCAGGGAGACCCCCTACCTTCCACCTCTACAAGCAGGAAAAATGGAGGACTGAATTCCATTTGGGATCTCTTCCTCCCGCCCCCCCCCAAGCCTCCTTCCACCCCCTCAGGAAGCAGGAGAGGTTCTTTCCCGCCTTCCCAGGCAGAGTTTGTTCTTGTAATCTGCAAACACGGGGCCCTGCCCCAGTTTGCACAGTTCTAATGGACGGAAACCAAGGCCCCGCTTGGGTCAGTCGCCAGGCCTCTTTGCTCCTGGAGTTGGGCAAGCCAGTTGGGAACTGGACCAGGCCAACATGGGGCAAAGGGACAAAGACAAGACTACCCAGTACGCTTCACGGTAGCCAAAGAAGATTCTTCATCAAGGAGTCCCCAGATCTTTCCTTAAGGAAAGAAGGGAAAGGCAGCTGGGACACTAAGTCCCTTGGAGCTCACGTGCTCAACTCATTCCTGAGAGGGGAGACAAGCAATTCAACAGCCAGCAGGACCCCTCCCCCACCTTGGGCCTAGGAGCCATCCCCCCAGCTCCTTCCAGAAGCGGGTGTAGAAACAGAGGAGGAAATGGGGGAGGGGAGGCCCTGGCTCAAGTTCTCTCCACTCCCCCTCCTCATTGGCCACCATCTTCCGGCCCCTGCCCGCCAGAGCAGCAGGAATGGGGCCCAGCCTGTGGAAAGGAGAGAAAGGGCAGGTGGGGGGTTAGCTGGAGCAGCAGGGGCAAGGGGCTGGCTCCAACTGTCTCCTCATGCAACCCCCCCCACCTCCTCCCGCAACCATGGCGACGGGAGGAGGAGACCAGGAGGGTCCTGAAAGCCCTGTTCTGTGAATGGGATGAGAGGGGCAGCTGGGAAGTGTGGGGTGAGGGGCGCTTTCCCTCGACACCCAACTGTGCCCCTGCCACACCTCGAGGCTGGACCACACGCGCTTGCACTCACAAACAAACTCTCAGCCATACTTGCTACACAACTCACCCCTCAGTCGACACTCACCCCAACTGGAGGGTGGGGACATAGCTCCCCACGTCCTCGCACCCAACCGCTAATAGCTAAAGCCAGCCTCGCATCGCTACAGCAAATGGGGCTCACCTCACAAGTTCTAGAGGTGATAGATCCCCTGCAATGCTCTAGCTGCTCTCGGGACACACCCGCCAAGTCCCCCGCGTCCCCACACCCTCCCAAGCTCAGGGACAGGCAGATGGCTCAGGCTTAGAGCCCCCCACCCTTTCCCACCACGCCCCCATTGGAAAATGACAGTGAGGCCACCTCAGAAAGACACGCCTGGTGCTCCCCAGATAGTGTTTCTAAAGGAAAAATAGAGAGGATGCCTACGAGTGGAGAATGAGGAGGGGAGGAAAAAGCAGAGGAGAGAAAAAGGCCGAAGCACCCCTTCCCCTCACCGAGAGAAGAAAACCGAAAAGCGCCGAGCTCCCAATACCTACACATCGCTCTTCTTAGGTTCCTCTGCCCGCCACCTCCTTCTTCCCGGGCTCTTTCTCTGCCTTTCCCTCCCTTTTGGCTCCCCTTCCTGGCCTCGCTCCCCTTCTCACGCCCTCTCGTACGCGGCCAGCCTCTCTCTGTCCCCGCCGGGCTCGAGTCCCCGCCAGCTGCCCCTCCACCCGCCGGCCGAACCGAGGCTCCGGGATGGGCTGGCCGCGGCGCTCCGCTCCTCTAAAGATCTGGCTCTTCCCCCCGCGCCCCCTTTCTCCTTCCACACTCCCTGCCGTCCATCTTGAATACTTGGGATTCTTGAATGGAGTGAGCAGGATCCGCTCCCCCAGGCTCTCATTGGCTGTGGGTTAACCCTTTTGAAACGAGATCCTCCCTCCCATTGGCTGTCAGGCTCCCCTCTTCTCCCCCAACCCCCATCCTCCCCGCCTCTCGACAGTCCTCGAGGTCAGGGCGCTCCCGGGCGCCCCCTCCCCTGGCCTCTCGTCTCCTGTTTCCCTATTCCTACCCCATTCCAGGATGCCCCTCTCCCAGCCTTTTTTCCACCACACATAGGCAGGCGCGCGCGCGCGCGCGTGTACACACACACACAAACACACACACACAAACACACACACACACACACCACTGCAGGTGTGCAGGTGAAGGCAAATCCAATTCCCGCCAAATGCAACTCCCGCATGGGCTGGCCAAAGACCTGTTCCCAGGTGCCGCTGGTACTGGACTTGGAGGCCTCTGAAAGAAGCATCGGTCAATTTCCTGCCTTTCTTCAACGCCCCCTCTGACCAGAAGTACTTCCCTAGCAGGAAATTTTCTCCCTGTTTTAGCCTCTCCCAAAGCAGTGCGGAAGCCTCCTGAATATAAGCGCTCTCTGGGCTGGGCAGGAAGCTGGTAACTCCAGAAAGAAGAGGTGGGGCTATTCAGAAGAGCTAATCCCGAGTGCCTCTGGGCAAGCCTGACCTGATCAGGAATGCGCAGCATCTGAAGCCCTGGTCAGTCACAAACATCTCTCTGAACCAGCCTTGCCCCCACCCCTATCCCTCCTCCTCCTACCACCAACACCAACACCAGCACACCACCAGTTAGGATCTTTGAGCTGGGGATGTCCTAGAGTCTCAGAAGGAAGGAAGAACTAGGAAGATGTGTCAGGAAGTAGGATAGCTTGGATCTAGAACCGTATTTTCCTGTAACAAGCATTCCTTCCCTGGGCCTCAGTCTCCTCGTTCGTCAAAGAGTGATCCAGAGCAGAGCTGTTATATTGAATTTTCTGGATAAAAAAACGGAAATGGTTCTGTATTATGTGTGTCATCCAAGATGGTAGCCACCTGACACATGCAGCTACTGAGCACTTGAAATCTGGCTAGAGTAGAGGGACTAGCTTTTAAATTTAGCTTAGCATCACTTTAAATCTTATCAAAATATATTGATGTAAAACGAGTCTCGTTATGTCTTTTTGTTCTTTACTTTTATTTTGTGTGTATTTATGTTTTGTATTCTTTTAAGACAGCGTGTCACAACCTCCAATTTGCTGTAAAACTGAGGTGGCCCTTTGCTTTCATAGAGTGATTACTTTATTTGACAGTATAGTATACATCTGGAATCTTTGTCCTGATGAATAACAATATTCTTGGATGTTTGTTTCTTTGGTGTGTGTGTGTGTGTGTGTGTGTGTGTGTGTGTGTGTTGTGTGTTGTTTGGGGATTTTTGAGACAAAGTTTTGCTATGTGGTCTAAATCCATCCCAAATTTTCAGCAGTCCCTGTCACTCAACCTTCCCAATGTTGTGATTACACCCATCATTTGCTACCGCATTGGGTTTTTGATTTTTTGTTTATTTGTTTGTCTTTGGGTGAAGAAATCCTTTTATTTTTGTCAGGAGTTGGACAGTTTCCAGACCCATATTGCACATCACCAAGGGCATCAGTGCATAGGAAAAGAAGTTGAAAATCCTTTTCCAGAGCTCATTCTGTATAGATACAAGTTCTTTATTTTTTTTAATGTTGTTGTCTAACATGAAATGTATATCGGCGATATGCATGGAGGTCAGAAGCCAACTTACTAAGATTGGTTCTTTCCTTCCACCATGTAGGAATCTATTGTTTTCACAAGGCTAAAAACCAAGATGTTGCTGGGCATAGTTGAAATAAGCCTATAATTTCAGCACTTAAGAGACAAAGTCCTGAAGATCAGAAGTTTTAAGTCATTCTTGGCTACATAATGAGTTTGAGGCCAGCTTGGGCTATGTGAGAATCTTTTTCAACCGTTATAAAGTAAGATATTGTTGGGCATGTCACTTGAAGGTAAGGGCACAGGCAGTGTGGATAAGTTTGTTCATGAGTTAACATACACCAATGCAAGCAGTACATCTCTCAGTACACACACATCGTTAAATTCCTTCAACATATGCTTTTTAACCAAGGCCGTATGGGAGCTGGTGTAGAAGTTAACCACGGTGACTGATATTTAATGATGGTCAGTTGTGGGATGATCCAATAGGTTCCTCCAATCAGCATATGAAATCCTTAAGTTCCAGAAAACAAGCAGAAGCTAAGCATGGTGGTGCATATCTGCAATCCCAGTACTAGAGAGGCTGAGGCTGGCGAATTGCCATAAGTTTGAGACCAATCTGGGCTACCATAGTAAGACTATTAAAGAAGGAGGAGGGAGAAGAGGGAAGGAAGGGAGGAAGGAAGGAGGAAAAGAGCTCAGCACTTACTTCTTGAATTAATGTTGGTGAAAGATCTCATGGCATCTCCTACCATGAGGAGAAGCTGTTGAGGGAATGAAAGAATGGCTGAATTTCTTCATTCCTGAGCTGATGCAGAAACACAACTGGTTGGGACTTGTGGAGAAGTGGGGATAGAGGATGCCAAGAATTCACGTAGCTATAAGCTAGGACCACAACATATAGGCCTCTAATGTAGCCCAGAGGGAACTAACACTGGACATGAGAAAAGAGGGGAGCGTCACAAGTCTGAATTTGTAGAATATTTGTTCAATTTCTGCTTCTAGAGGGTTCTGCCAGGATAATACAATGTGTGTCAGAAGTCAAAGAGATAGCTAGGAAACGGCTTTGTCTTCAGCATCCTTTTATTCCCAGGTGAGACTGCTAGATGACTTCTTTGGTGGAAGACAGGTAGCTTCAATGAAAGGAAGACTTGGAATGGAATTCAAGAGGGCTGCCTGGAAGTAGCACTTGAGACTTGATGATCCAAAGGATTTAGTCAGAAGATAATGGTCAAGGAGGGCAGGAGCACTCAAAGGAGAAGGAACAACATAAAAGCTGAAAGGTAGTGATATGGTGGAAATGTCTTCTGCGTTGTTTGGAAATTAGTCAAAAACCCAGAGCAGAAGCAGCAGGAAAGCAAGCTAGAAGCAGACTCTTGGAGTATGTCTTTGAAGCCACTGCTCAGTTCCAAAGACATCATTTTCCTTGAAAGTTCTCTTAACCTTTTCCTTACCAAGCAGCACTGCCCATCTGTTCATCTAGCTGGCCCAGCTGGCACCTCTATCCTTAGATCTCTGCTGCATTTGTCTTGGTCTGAAAGTTCTCTGTTCAACAAGACTTCTCCCTGCAGACAGAGGAGACTCTCGTTCCCCATTGGAGGACTGATTCTCTGCATTCCCAGTGCCTAGATATAATGTGCATGAAGGCTTTCCTTTTCCATCTACAACCTTCCAAATCCCTGCTCAACTCATCCTTTCTTAGAAAAGAGACCGGACCTACTTGAGGGAGTGTAAACAACAACAGTGTACCCAGGATCTATTTGGCTCCTAGCCATCCTACACTATCTGCACAGTTTTCTCTCCCATAGGAGTTTCAGAATACACCTGACTACATGTTCTCTCTTCCTTTGCCCCCTAATCCCCATTTGGGCATCTCAAAACAACAACAGAAATCAAAACCAAACTTCTAAATGTGAGACAATAATACTATGTGTACCAGTCCTCTGCCTTCTGGAAGGACTGGATCAGAAATGTAGGGATGAGAGTCACCTCACTGCTTAAATGTCAGTGGAGGTTAACTTGTTGGCTGTTGTCACCATAGCTTTGGACTCACTGAAGGAGTCAGTGAGAGCCTCTTCATTTTCCCCTCCTCCCTCAACAAGGTGCCTTTTCGTCTTCACTGTCTTGTTTCTCTCCTGTGCTTTTGTTCCTGGCAACTGACCGTATGGAAGGCTTTGGAACCATGGCCTCAAAAATGCTGCTGGCTCATAGATGTGCTGAGCAGAGAAGTCCATAGCGGGCACATCAAAAGGAACATGTTCAAATACACAGGAGAACCTTTGTTCTCAGGTACATTCCTTTCTCTCGATGCTATCCTTGCTTCAGCAATAGTGATTCTATCTTCAACCCCTTTCCCTACGCTAGAGGAAGGGTCAGCAGGGCACGGGTCACAGCCCTATCCCTGAGTCTGCCTATCTTTGTGTATGAAAGTTCACTGGAACACAACTGTACTCATCAGTTTGTGCACTGCCGGGTGGTTTCTTTCTACAGCCATGGCATCGCCAAGCTGACTGATTACAGCAAAAACCTGGCTGGCAAAAAGTCTAGCATATTTACCACCTGGCACTTTACAATAAAATATTTGCCATATACCTAGGTTTGGGGAAGTTTTAGACTTTGTTTTAGAAAAATGCACTAGAATGTAAGACAGGCAACTGAGAAGGACCTGGAAAGATGTCCATGCCTGTCATCCCAATTTAGGAGGTTGAGGCAGGATGATTGTTTGTCATGAGTTTGAGACCAGCCTGGGCTGCATAGTGAGTTCCAGGCCAGCCTAAACTGCATCATAATAATACGCCTTTTCAAACAACACAACAGGAACAAAGGCGAATGCGAAAAGGGAAAAAACGGGAGAAGAGGAAAGGAAGGAAGTACAAGTAGGCAACAGAGATGCCTAAGAATGACAGTTGAAGGGCCCAGCACAGACTTTTCAGCTCATCCTATATACGTTATATTCAGATTTTTTCTCAACCCGTCTCGAAACATCCTGTAGTACTATCTTTACTCTCTATTTCTCCTTTGTCTCCTGCTCATTTATTTTACTTCAAATTAATGCATAATTTTGTGTGTGTGTGGTACGACAGTCAAGCACATGTTTACAATGTTTAAATGATCAAATCGGGATAATTAACATGCCCATCTCCTTTTTCTCTAGTTTTTCACAAACTGTACAAGTTATTCTGACCCACAAGCCCCTTGTTATGCTGTTTAACACTAGATTATACAGGTAAGTATAACCTAGTTAGTGCTTCAGTATCCATTATTTATATACACCCTGTATTTTTTTTTTTTGTACTCCCCCAGCATTTTTTTTTTTTCTTGAGACAGGGCTTCTCTGTGACTTTGGAGCCTGCCCTGGAATTAGCTCTTTTTTT